AGATGTGTGGACTTCAATTCCCAGAATTCTCCGCTGTTTGCTGGCTAGGGAATTCTGGGAGTTAAAGTCCACCTGTCTTAAAGTGCCCAAGGTTGAGGAACACTGCTCTGCAGGAACCTTCCCCACGCGGGGCAGCTTTTTGTCTCCCAGAATTCCCTAGCCAGCAAACAGCGGAGAATTCTGGGAATTGAAGTCCACACATCTGGAGGGCCATCAGGTTGGAGAAGGCTGCTGTAAACTTGGTCATGCATTGCAGTAAAGCCAGCTTAAGTCTGCTTTCTGAGAATTGGCTCCATATTTAGCCAAGCCATTTTGAACCTTTACAAACCACCCTTGCCTGGTTTCAGAAAAGACTCTTTAAGATGTAAATACATAAACTACCTTTTGATCTAGTGTTTTCTGTGAGCTCAGCCCGAGTTAACAAATTGCACCAAACCATGGTCTGTTTATCATAAACCTCAGTTGGCTGGTATCACACAACATACTAAGCCCAAACAAACCACACTTGGGCTGAGTTGTGTGAACCACAAACTCTGACTACAGAATTAGCATAAGAACAAGAAGGAGCTGAGAATGGTCGAAAATCCTCACTTTCTACAGACCCAAGCTAAACCTCTGAGCTGGTTGTCACTTTCCTTGCACACTCAAAGATCTGTGCCATTTTTACACGGCACATGAACCTGCAGTGTGGTTTAATGGCTTTGATGTAATGGGCAAATTCAGCTGGCTTAGCATGCTGCGTAACCCGGGGCAATTGTCCATTACACAGTAAGCCACTATTTAGCAAGTCATGGCTTGATGTGGGATGTGAACCTGGCTTTTTGTCTACTTTTGAATTCACTGACAACCCTCCCGTTTTCCTTTAAGCCTTTTTTCTCACTTTTCCGCCAAACGACATCTCCAAACATGGAATAGACTCCAGCGGAAGACCAATTCTTCCCTGGATTTATTATCTCCTCCCTCCTGTTTCTCCTTACTGCCCCTAGAAGCAAGGGCATATTTTTTTGTGCAAAGTATTATCCATTCCAATGGCATATCATTAATATAATGAATGAGGCTGGATGTTTAAACAATAAGTAAAGTATTGTGCCTAAAGCTTGGTTACCACAGTATGCCTTGCCTGCTTGAGTCAATTAGTTTTCCAGGACTCTGCCTTAAAATGGAAAACAACCCTTGTAAGCACGTTCCTGTCCCCACCTTGCTACCCTGCCCCAGTTTGCAAAATAC